GAAGGCTAGACTTACAGGCCGAAAGTCAGCTTTGCTCAGCAGCTAATTTTAGACTGCAGCATAACCAGCGCTGGGCACCCAGAACCTTGCACTTCATTTTCATAGTTGCTAGGCTTTCACACTGACTGCACTTTAGTTAGCCATTGCTTTATGGTTGTGGGGCACACTGGTCAGTGGTGGGCACCTTACTGCCCCCTGGCTCGCTCTAACGGTGCAGGCTCCTTTGTCTTTTCTCTTTCCTGACCTGATTGGACTGGTCATTTGTCTTGTTCCCATCTTGGACTCGAAACTCCCAGCCTTCTAATGACTAAGGCTGTGGAGGCCACTCTGGGGCAGCGCTGAGCAGGCATGTCATTGTCCCCCATGTCTGCTGGCTCTCACCATCTGCTTTGGTTTCTTCCAGTTCTTGCACGTAAACGTCTTCCTAGGACAGTAAAATGTAGAAGTGGGTGGCATTTGAAGTTCCTTTGGGACTGGTTTTCCTGTTACCAGTGCAGAACACACATGGCTTTGAATGGGTTCAGCTGTCCTGTCCTGGGTCTCTCTAGATGAGGAGTCCTTGAGCTGCTGTCTCTTTATTTGCTCAACAGTGAGGAAGTGGAGATGGCTGCTTGTGAAACTCTTGTCTTGAAGGGCATTTGTCATCCTCATGGTAATTTCTTGTAAGAAATTCTTCAGATCCACAAATGGGCCAACTCAAACTTCTTCACAGCTAAAGTCACTAAGAGCCTTACAGTGCCCTGTCGGACCTTGAGCCCATGTCCTGATGGGACCTAGACTGTGGACCCACCAGCCCTTGTGAGTGGGACAGGGACCCCATCAGTGCGCACTGCAGCCACCTGTCTCTGCCTAGAAAGTTTTTGGTGCTCGGTGTGTAGGTGGACGCTAAGCCTGCTCCTAGTTCCCACCCAGTTACCAGGATGCCCTTCCAGTACCTCCAGCCCTGTGGGGCTGCTCACAGAGAAAGCCTGTACCCTGGACGTAGGAGGTGCAGAAACGCCGATGGGGAGCGAGGTGTGTGTGAGGCAGTCCTGTTTCCTTTGCTCTGACGCCACAGAGCAAAGCAAGACATCACTGGCCTGTGAAGTGAAATCTTCCATTCTTTCCCCCCAAGCTCTGTCTGTTCTGTACAGGCCTGTAGTCTATCTTTTCACCTAAATCCTGACTTTGGGGGCTGCTGTTGTGTTGCCGCTGGATAAGCCATCGCTCTGACATGGGCCTCCTTTACTGGAGTGCCAGTTGAAGTCCTGGCTGTTCCGCTTTCAACCCGGCTCCCTGCTGATGTTCCTGGAAAGACAGCAGAAGATGGCCCTGGTACCTGCCACCCACGTGGGAGACGTGGATGGAGTCGTAGGCTCTGGGCTTCAGTCTGGTCCAGCCCTGGCTATTGTGTCCACTTGGGAACTGAACCAGTGAATGGAAGATCTGTCACTCTCTGTCATTCTGCCTTTTAAATAATCAAATCATCATTTAAGAATAAATAAGTAACCCAGTAACTCCTTACCTTGGCCCCCACCTCTGCCTCACTGCTCTGCTTTTCTTAAAGATGTCTTGATAGTTTGAGATGGTTTGGAATGATTGCAGTTCCACTGCTGGCAGGAACTGAGCTTTTTCAGAAGAGCTGCGGTGGGCTCTGTAGGTCAGGGAGGTCTCCTGGAGGAGCTGCCTGGAGATCCTCGACTGCTCCTCTCTTCTCTCTCCAGGACAGGCCGTTGCCTTCTCCCCTGCTCTGGCACATGGCTGCCGTGCAGGGACGGGGAAGGACCCAGTGATATTTTGTTGACAATGCATTTTCTTCTTTGGGGCTTCACTACACATGTCATTGTCAACTGTGCATTTTAAAAAATTATTTATTTGAATGGCAGAGCAGTGGAGAGAGAGGGCTCTTAAATCTGTAGGTTTGCTCCTCAAATGGCTACAGTTGCCAGATCTGGGCCAGGCTGAAATCAGGAGCCACAAATTTCATCCAGATCTCCCACATGGGTGGCAGAGACCTAAGCACCTGGGCCATCCTCTGCTGCCTTCCCAGGTGCATCAGCAGGAAGCTGGACTGGAAGCGCTTGATCCAGCACTCCCTGGTGCCCTAACCCGCTGTGTCACAACACTGGCCCCTCAACCCTGGCTTTATAGCTGAAGACACGGGCTTGGTGAGGCCCAAGTCAAAGGCAGAACTGAACCAGGAAGGAAGGAGTGTCAGACAGGTGTGAGCTGGATGGATTGAGAAAAGGGACCAGTGTGTGCTTAGTACTGGGGCCACCATTGCCATTTCCCAGATCAGACGGCAGATCCAGTGCTTCTCAGAGGACCCAGAAAACCTGTGTGTGCTGTGCAAGAAGAGCTGCTCACATAGCTAGGTGTCTGGCCTCCACCTGGGACGCGCCTGCTGGGGAGGTGGGCTGCTGTCTCTGGATCTGGGGGGCGGGGGGACTGCTGTCTGTGCCGTGAGCCATTCCTGGGGCAGGGAGAGAAGAATGAAGTCATTTGAAGGGCATGCAGCCAGACCAGTTCCTGGAGGATCCCTTCAATGGTGAGGTGGTCTAGGCAGGTGCAGGTGAAACCACTGTGAGGTTTCCTGTTGGCGTGGCCACAACACCTGGAGTGTCCAGGCCTCTAGTAGGTGGGGCAGGTTGTTCCCAGGTGTGGGCCTGGCAGTCAGGAGGTGGATGTGGCTCTGGGTCCCTGGGCTGCTACCTTGATTGTGACCATGTTCCCAGCTCAGTGTGCAAGCTCCCCATCCCCTGGCCTCAGAAGCTGCTCTTTTGTGGGCCTTGACAACATCTTCTCCAAGATGTGACCATGGGTTCCCTGAGCCTGGGTGCTGAGGCTGTGTGATGATGGAGACTGCCCATGTGTATCAGGCAGTTGGGGGAAGAGAAGACTTCAGTCTGATGTTGAAGACTGATGAAGGCTGGGTCTGGGAGCAGTGGGCAGGTGCTTTGGCTGGGAGGCTCAGTCCCATGGCCCTGCTATCCAGGGTGGCATTTAGGGGTCCCAGAGGCAGGCACGAAGGACAGCCCAAGTCTGGCGATGGTGTTCAGAGAAAACCCAGGGGGCCGGCGCCGTGGCTCACTAGGTTAATCCTCCGCCTGCGGCGCCGGCATCCCATATGGGCGCCGGGTTTTCTTCTGTGGCCCGGGAGTGCAGTGGAGGATGGCCCAAGTCCTTGGGCCCTGCACCCCATGAGAGACCAGGAGAAGCACCTGGCTCCTGGCTTTGGATCCGCGTAGCTCCGGCTGTAGCAGCCAGTTGTGGGGGGGAACCAACAGAAGGAAGACTTCTCTCTCTCTCTCTCACTGTCTAACTCTGTCAAATAAATTTAAATAAATAAATAGAGAAAACCCAGGGGTACAGAGGGCACTGTTTTTAGCATCAGACGAGCAGGATGGGTCCTGCTGTGGTGGCTGTGGAGTTGAGAATGGAGAGGCCAAAGGAGAGGGAAGAGCCTGAGGTTCCCACTTGAGAGAGGGGGTGACTGAAGGGCTGGGCAGGAACCTGCAGCGGCCTCTGCAGGACCATGGAATCCGCCAGGTGTGCCTGCTTCCTGAGTGCCCTCTTCCTCCAGGTCCCAGCTAAGGTGGGCTCCCGACCACCTTCCCACACCCAGAATAGGAGGCTGGGATGGTTTGGTGTGTCAGTGCTGCTGGAGAGGGAGGAGGGCACAGAGAGCCGAGAGGGCCCTGGCAGGGAGATAGGAGACGTGTTTTTACCCAAAGGGCCCAGACTCAGGAAAGCCCCGGTGTGCAGCGTGCTGTGGTCTCAGCTCCTTGTTGGGAGGATGGGGGTTTGATGGTGCCTACTGCTTGCAGGTTTGAGGACAGGAGTCCTGGTAATTGCTTGCTGTGACAAGAAGCAAGGCTTAAAGGGAGAGGGAACTGGATTTAAGGCTTATCTGATGGGGCCCTCGGAGGCAGATCAGCTGTGGAGTTGGCTGAGGAGGGTGCAGGGTCAGGGGGACTGCAGGCAAATGAGCACTGAGGCCAGTGCCTCTGGAGCTGGGAGCCCAGGACAGTCAGTGCCAGATTCCCTCAAAGCCCCTGGAGCCAGCACCTGTGGAGAGGCTAGAAGGGGTCCAACGTGCATGAGGACTGGCCAGGCTCTCCCCCCGACACAGGAGCCTGCAGCTTGGAGGGTGGCTTCGGAATCAGACAAGCCTGGATTTGAGAAGCATGTGAAATCCAAAGTGAAAACCTCCACCTCCCCCTACCCGCTGATGTCATGTTTCTTGTATTCTTTCACAATTGTGTATGTGTGTCCTTTTTGTACATAAATAAACACTGCTATATTTCTGCTTTCAACCCTTACTTAAACTGATGGCCACACAAAAGGCCACCTAGCTCCTTGCACATGCTGTTTAGTGTTCTGCTACTGGACAGGCCTCAATCAAGCTCACTGGACTCCAGCTGCTAGTCACTGAGGCTGGTGCCAGTTTGGGACTATTTTGATGTGGCAGTACATAATCTCTGAACACTGGGACAGTTATTTCTGGAGGACAAATTCTAGACACAGATTTTCTGGGTTCAAGTTATGTCCCTTCCTCGCTCCTCAAAATCCCCTTTGAAAGTAGTTCCTGAATCCATACCCCTGCTGAGAGAAGAGAGTTACAAAGTGATGGCCCAGGGCTGTTGCAAGATTAAATGAGGCTCTGCCTGTGAAGCCCGCAGCCAGTGCCTGCCACATCAGGCTGCAGGGTACCATGGGCTCCAGGGCCACCCTGCAAACTGGGTCACTTTGCACTGCATCAGAGGAGGTGCCGGGTTGGGTTTCATGGCTCGGGGAAGAGCGGCGGCAGGAAACAGTGGCCTGACAGCCGCCAAGTAGCTGTGTGTGGCAGACACTGGAGCAGGGCTAGGGCAGGACCCAGAAGGGCGCGGCTCCTGCCTCATCCTCATGGAGCCGGCAGACTGCAGTCCCCTGGGCATGTGGTAAGTGCTGCCAGGCTGCTGACGCTCCAGCTCCGCTCTGACTGCGTCTCTCTCTCCCTGCTCGCCCCCTGCCCCCAGTGTACGTGGTGGAACGGGAGAAGAAGACGGACAGCGGGTGTCAGGCGGCTCTGGCGGCGTGCTGGGCTGCACTCTGCTGCTGCTGCCTCCTGGACAACTTGGACTGAGCAGCCAGACCCGAGGGGCCCACAGCCTGCCGCCTCCTGTTTGGAAATAAACAACTAGTGTTGCACACTCTTCATTTTCCTTCTTTCTTTGAGAAATAACCTGTAGACTTTGAAATCCTAGCATCTGTGATAGGTATGAAAGTGCCTTCTCTGATCATGGGTAACCTTGAACATAAGAAATGTAAATTTTTGGCAATTTGCTTGTATACTTTGTTTCACTTGAACATATATATATATATATATATTTTTTGCTGGTTTATCTTTTCCTGTCAGTGTGCAAGAAGTCTTTACATGTTCTGCATATTAATGTTTGTCACTTTTATAGGCTTATAAAGACCATATCAGACTATTCAACCTTTCTACAGTATTATTTTGTTTAGAAATGTTTTAATGCCATATTTATCAGTCTTCCACTATTACTTCATGTGGTTTTTGTTTTTTGAAAATCATTTTTTATTCTCAAATCATAAAAAATAAGACTGTATTTTCTTCTATAATGTTTTATATTCAGGGTTTAGTCCACCGAATTAATTTTTGATCATGGTGTGGGATAGGGTTCTGGCTTTCATTTTCTGTTCTGATACCCATGTATTGATGAGGAAAAAGCACACCCAGACTCCGTGTCTCCTGCTGCACTGTCACAACACAGAGAGGCCTCTCCCGCCACCAGGCAAGCAGTCGGCTCTGAGCAGCGGACTCCGGCTGGGTGTCCCTACTTCATTTCAGTCCTGACTCCGGCCACCTGGCCACAATCTCCATGCCCATAGGTTAAGGGCTCAGCTCCCAGAGCTGTGCCCCTCACTTGGGATGCCACTTGACAAGCCCCAAGTTGTTGAACCTGTTTCTGACTGACGAGCTATAAAGTGGGGTTCCTTCAACGCTTCCCTGGGGTCAACTGATGTGCCTGAAGCACTCACGAACTCAGGACAATGTTGACTGGCTTATTGTCAAAAACACAGACATGAGGTGCACAGGGCCTGGCGTGGGGGAGGGCGTGGAGCCCCCGTGCCCTCTCTGGACTCAGTTCAGCCATCTGCAAGCTTGTGAAGCTGTCCGTGGGTTTTTATGGCGATGTTGAAGCCCAGGTGACGCTGCAGACCTGTGACTGCACAGGCAGGCAGTGTCCAGTGCTGACAGATGGCTCTCTGTGCAACATCCCCTCCTTCCGGGCAGGGGTCTTAGGAGCTACTGCCAGGCGAGGTCATTTCCTTATGGCCAGCTCCAAGACACAAAGGCACAGGGGACTTTTTATGACTGGCCTTGAGGAAGAGAAATTTGTATGGCCGGCCTTTGAGAGGGTTGAGCCAGGAACCATGGAGGAAAACCATAAACTACGTATCAGTAAAATTGCAGCAATCCCTTGTCATATACCAGGTTCCCACATGTGAATGAGAATCTGGTACTACTTCCTCCTTACCACTGCCAGGAAACACCCGTTATTCTTCCTAGTGTTCTTCACTGTTCTTCGCCTTTCCCCGTAAGTAACCTGGAGTTTAGGTTATACATTTGGCTGGAATGGCATGTAATTTAGCGGGTGGCTGGTCTAAGAGCAGATGTATTTACAGTACTGTCTTCCTGTCACGAACAAGGTAGATCTGTTTATTTTTGTCTTTCTGTCCTTAAGTGAAGTGTGGCATTTTGTTCACACAGCTTCCACGTAGTCTGTTTTTAACCTTCTTCTCAGGCATACAGTAACGTTAGTGCTATTACGAATGTATGCCTTTTTTTTTTTTTTTTTTTTTTTTTGACAGGCAGAGTGGACAGTGAGAGAGAGAGACAGAGAGAAAGGTCTTCCTTTGCCGTTGGTTCACCCTCCAATGGCCGCCATGGCCGGTGTGCTGTGGCCGGTGCATCGCGCTGATCCAAAGCCAGGAGCCAGGTGCTTTTCCTGGTCTCCCATGCGGGTGCAGGGCCCAAGCACTTGGGCCATCCTCCACTGCCTTCCCTGGCCACAGCAGAGAGCTGGCCTGGAAGAGGGGCAACTGGGACAGAATCTGGCGCCCCGACCGGGACTAGAACCTGGTGTGCTGGCGCCGCTAGGTGGAGGATTAGCCTATTGAGCCGCGGCGCCGGCCATGTATGCCTTTTTGACGTACATTTTTTTTCTTGGAGGAAATGTCTTTGTTCCATCGGGGTCCCTGTCTCTGATGCCATATTGCCACGGGCATACACGCTGTGAGAGGGGTGGTCCAGAGCCTGCCCTGTGCACACTGCAGGGGACACTTGAGTTCCACGGAGACAGTTCATTCCATCAACAATCCCCGAACAGCCTGGCATTGGGTGGCAGAACACAGCACACCCCACATGGGCTGTCACAGGGCTTACCAGCGAGGGAAGGAAGTGGAGATTGCGTGAGCCCACAGCTGTAACTGACAGACTTGCTGTGAAGAGCAGAGATGTAATGTGTGGCGTCAGGGAAGTGTGGCAGTCTGAGGCCACCCCGGAAATCTTGAGGTGGTGTTAAAGGCAGACAGGGCAAAGGCCCCAGGCAGGAGGGAAGTTGTTTCATACGAAAAGAGGAAGTTGCTGTGGCCCAGGACAGCGTGACCTTGGGGACAGATGACAGATAGGCAGGATTGACTCAGGGGCTCATAGCCCAAGTTTGAGGGATTTGAGTCTTTGTGCTGTGAGCAGTAGGAAGCCCCTGAAGGATTTGAAGCAAAGGGGTGCTGCCAGACTTGCACTTTTAAAGAGACCCCTTTAGCTTTTGTGTGGAGGGGCACAGGCACCTGTGGTGGTGAGGGTGACAAATGAGTGCATTTGAGAGCTGCTCGGAAGTAAAATCAACAGGATGTGCTGACGTAAGCGATACGGAGGAAGAGTCAGGGATGATGCCTGGCCATGGTGCTTCGGAGGCTTGGAACAAGGGAGGGGGCCCATGCTTGGCTGGAAGGCAGGCGATCGTTTTGAGCTGTGAACGTACGGAGTTAGTTTGAGGTATCTATTGCCATGCAAGTGGAGATGCCGGGGAAGTAATCGCAGCTATGCCTGCTGCTTCAGGAGAGGTTGGGCCAGAGGTAGAAATACAGAGAGCCTTGGCATGTTGGTGGCAAACTGAAATAATGGGAGTGAATTCAATCAAGTTGGGTAGAAACATGGAGGGAAAACAAAAGGTGGCTGCGTAGGGCTGGGCTTCAAGGAATTCACAGACCTGTAGACAAGGAATACGCCACAGAGGTGAAAAACCTGGGGAGGATGGGGGCGCACTGCACCAATCTGAAGCCAGGAGCCAGGTGCTTCCTCCTGGTCTCCCATGTGGGTGCAGGGCCCAAGCACTTGGGCTATCCTCCACTGCCCTCCCGGGCCACAGCAGAGAGCTGGACTGGAAGAGGAGCAGCTGGGACAGAATGCAGCGCCCCAACCGGGGTTAGAACCCCAGGGTGCCAGCGCCACAGGCGGAGAATTAGCCAAGTGAGCCACAGCGCCGGCCAAGAACATGTTTAACTTAGGAGCAGGCTGCTGTTTCCCAGCATGGCCACAGCGTCTTGCGTTCCTGTAGCAGTGTCTGAGTTCTGTCAGTGCTTGGTGTTGTGTTTTTATTGTAGCCATTCTCATGGCTGTGTAGTGCTATCCGCTTATGGCTTTAGTTTGCATTTTCATAAGAGCTAAGGTGATGCTACGTGATTATTTGCTCTCCTGTATCTCCTTTGGTGAAAATTCTCTTTGTCTTCTGCCCACTCTTCAGTTGGGTTGTTGCCTTGTTAAGGGCTTTGTATATTTGAGATGCAAGTTCCCTGTTGGATCTGATCTGCAAATGCACTCTCCCAGTGTGCGCACTGACTTCTCCTCCCTTAACACAGTGTCTCTCACAGTCCCTGACTTTGATAAAGTAAAATTATATCAGTTTTCTTTTATGGATCATGCTTTTGGTATCAGGTCTAAAAAAGCCTAACCTGAGTTCACAAATATTCTGTTTTCTTCTGAAAGTTACATATATACTTTTATTGTTTTAAAGATTTATTGATTGGGGGCCGGCGCCGCGGCTCAATAGGCTAATCCTCCGCCTTGCGGCACCGACACACCGGGTTCTAGTCCCGGTCAGGGTGCCGGATTCTGTCCCGGTTGCCCCTCTTCCAGGCCAGCTCTCTGCTGTGGCCAGGGAGTGCAGTGGAGGATGGCCCAAGTGCTTGGGCCCTGCACCCGCATGGGAGACCAGGAGAAGTACCTGGCTCCTGGCTTCGGATCAGCGTGGTGTGCTGGCCGCAGCGCGCCGGCTGCAGCAGCCATTTGAGGGTGAACCAATGGCAAAGGAAGACCTTTCTCTCTGTCTGTCTCTCTCACTCTCCACTCTGCCTGTCAAAAAAAAAAAAAAAAAAAAAGATTTATTGATTGGAAAGGAAGAGTCACAGACGGACAATGAGAGAGGGAGACACATCTTCCATCCACTGATTTGATCCAAGGCAGGAGCCAGGAGTTTCTTCCAGATCTCCCATGTGGGTGCAGGGGCCCAAGCACTTGGGCCATCTTCCACTACTTTGCTAGGAGCGTTAGAATGGAACTGGATCGTAAGTGGAGCAGCCAGGACTCGAACTAGTACCCCTAAGGGATGCTGGTGCTGCAGGCAGTGGCTTTACCCACTGTACCATCTCTATAGTTTTATATTTCACCTTTAGATCTATGACCACTTTAGAAATAACTTTGTATAAAATGTAAGGTTTATGATTGAGGATTTTTTTGTGTGTACTGTATCAATTTTTTTCAACATCCTTTGTTTGAAAAGACCACCTGCTTGGTCTTGTGGTACTGTGAGTTAAGCTTTCACTTGCCATCCTGGTTGGTGTCCCATACCGGAGTAGCAGATTATCCGGGCTAATCCACTTCCCGTCCAGCTTCTTGCTAATGCTCCTGGGAAAGCAGAAGATGGCCCATGTACTTAGGTCCCTGTCACCCATGTGGGAGACCAGGATGGAGTTCTTGGTTCCTCACTTTAGCCATGTGGAGAATGAGCCAGTAGGTGGAAAATTGATCTCTCTCTCCCTCCTCTATCACTCTGCTTTTCAAATAATTTTTTTTTGCAAGAAACCAAACCTTTCTCTCTTGTTATGCAGATCTGTCACACAGACCTGTCCCTT